GCTGGTTGCTCTTTAGCCCTGCTCAGGTAGTTTTCATATCTCTGCAGCTCTTCTTCTGACAATGCAATAACGTTAATCTGAAGTAGAGCCAGGTCTAATATGGGAACCAAATTGCCAGATGCTGATGGTGCCTTTACCTTGTCTTTGTGTTTAACATTGTAGTTCATTCAGTTACTATAGTTGATACTGGTTCTTATTTAGCAGTTTTCTCAGTTGTTTGGAATCTGCAGATAAACTACAGCTATTGAATTCAGCAAGCTGACAGTCACAGGAGAGCTGGACCCAGCTTTGCTCAGTGTTGCCCATGTACAGATGGGTGGCTACCACCCTTTTCAATCTCACTTTGCACAGCAGGACCTTTCTGAGATTTATCATGCCATATGTAGTGTACAATACTTGCTTCTACCCACTCTAATTTTATTAAATAACTTTTTAGTCTGTTATGAGAAAATTTATTTCAGTTTGACTGGTTTTTATGCTATCCATGTTTTGCTGCCTGCTTCTAGTTTGGTTTTTTTTCTGCCATTCAGTGTCCTAATGCCCATTTGTTCTCTGTATGAAACGAGTAGTGTTAATAACTCCCTCAAATGCACACCTTGGTGATGGCAGGTGAACAATGTTGCTTTTACAGTAGGATTTAAAGTAGTTAGGAGTGTCTGGTGGCTGAGTTTCTGCTAGCGTTTCCTTTGACCCTAGGAGAAGAGAAAGCTGTATGTAGTCAGCACAAGCACCTGGGAATGTGGCTTTGCCCCCCTTTCCTTCCCCAGACAGCTTCTGCTGGGAAAACAGCTTTAAGGTGCGGTGGGACAGTATCAGCTCTCTGCCAGGCTAAAGGTATTGATGTCATGATTTTAACAACAACAAACCAACCCAAACAATAAAAGGAAAAAAGAAAATTAAACAATAAGATCCCCGTAACAAAGCCCTTAAGCTGGTGGGCAGGGGTGAAGGGAGGAGAGGAGCTCTCTGGGCTTGATGGGGAGCAGTACCTGGCACAGCAAGGGAGTAGGTGAGCACCTGGGGCGGGGAGGGAGCAGGGAAGTGAAGGGAGCACAAAGCAGGAGCTTCAGGTGGCAGTCTGTGGGACTGTGTGGTTTTCTGGAAGTAGAAGGAGAGGGGTTGGGATAGGGAAGTGTTTTGTAACTTGCAGCATGCTCCATAAAAAGTGCAATGGAAATCCTGAGTGCAGAAAGAATGGGACAAAGGAAACATGTAGAAATTAGGAAGGCTGAGGAATTTGTGTGACATGGGGAAAGCCAAAGAGGAGAAGCTTGCTGTAACTGCATTGCTGCCAATTCTGATGCCACTGGTCACTGGCAGAGGCAGGTCGTTTAATTTCCTTGCTGCATTCAACATCCTGCCCGCCCTGCATGCGTTTTCTGTCCTGACTTTCTGGCTTGCTCTCTTGCATGTGCTGTCCTAAAACAAACAGCTGTGTTTGCAGCTTTCCTCCATTTGTATGACCGTTTTGATTGCATTTGCAGAGTGGGCATATCAGTACATCGTACTGACGAGTTCCTCTGGGCCTGCAGCAAGACCTAAAGGGAGTGAACCCAACTTAGGGTGGAGAAGGGATGTGGCTAAAATGCTATAAAAATCCTTTTACTATAAATTGCAGGTCAATAGCCCTTTCTTAATAACACTAAAGACAAGTGGTGCTGTAATATTAAACTGTTCTTTTCAAGAGTTCAAAGAATCCCAGCCCCAGCAGTACTTAGGAGGTAAATACTACAGCAGGCATGAGTATATGTGAGTGAACACAGAGCAGATGTACCCTGAGGCAGAGGAGTAACGGGCTTATGGTGGCAGAGTGAATGAGTTATAGCTCCAGGAGCAAAACTGAGAAGATGTTCTCGGCCTGGGGAAAGTCCATACAAAAGGTGAAAGATAATATCTGAGTTGTTATCTTAGAGATGTGTGTAAACTACCTCTGTCCAACTAGGAGTCTGTCTGTTAAAGGCTTTCACCAGAGGCTTTGTTGTTTTTTTTGACTTGCAGAGGTGATTTATCACACTTGGTGAAGTACAGGGCTTGGTTGTCTTTCACTAGAAACCAAACATTTTTAAGGAGCAAAGCAGCCATGAAACCTGTCTTGTTCTGTTTAATTGTTTGTGGTTCTTTCAAACTTCTGCTTATAGCCTGTGCCAGCTTTTATGAGAAGTGAGTGAAAATACTAAAAAAAACTTCTGAGAATAATTGACAAACATTTTCTACAGAACAACATTATTACTGACTTCACAGACTTATCTTACAACATTAATTTTGTTGGTCTCCAAGATGGACAAATTAGTAGATTTGTCATCAGTGTTCTGTGAGGGAGAAATTTCTATACTTAAGAAGGGGTGGGAAAGAGGTAGTGTGAGCTGCCCAGGACTGCATCAGGTGCAGAGGACCACCATCTTCCCCCCTTTTTATGCTGAGGAGCTGTTGCAGGGTTCGCTTACACCCAAGACTTTTCAGTGAAATATTTGTATCTGGTTTCCCTAAACCCTCACAAAGGATATCATCTGTGAAGGAAAGAGGATTCTCTTGTATGACCTTTTTTTGATCTTAACATGAACTTGGCAACTCTGTAAATCTCCCTTAGGAAAGCAGCCTGTCTCCAGAGGATTGCTCCCACGGCTTCCAGCTTCTTCTGAAGAGTCTTGACAGCCAAGAAGCAAAGAACATCAAGGGCTTTCAGAGTCTGTTGGGATTTATGGATCCATTTTCAACTTGGCAGCGAGAGCTGGACTTGAATGCATCTCAGCAGAGGTGCCAGATGGCAGCAGCCCACTGCCCTGCCTGTGCAAAAGCCGCCGCCTCTCTGTTAGCAGCCCCTCCCCTTACCTCAGGAGCTGACAAAGCCAAAAAGAAATCCTCCTGTCCTGGGGAGTGTAAAAGGCTCTGTAGCAGAAAACCCCTGAGTCCCGGAGGCCTGTGCTGTGGCGAAACAGCACAACAGCCTGTGCTTTCCGTGGGCTCTGGGCCAGCGGGGGAGCTCCTGCCGGGCAGGCGCTGAGGTGGTGCCGCTGCTGAGCTGCCTGTCACACAAAAGCTCCACGAGAAAAAACCCGCTCGTGAGCAGAACAGCCAAGAGATATCACGTTCTGTTTCATGCCAAAGGTCTGATTTATTTTCTGAGGCACTTTCTCAGCAGAATACACATTCTGCGCATTTTAGTGAAAGATGCACCAGTTAATAAGACAGAAATGAAAGAAAAACAAGTTATTAAACATCAAGAAAGGGTTTTGAACAACCACCAAATTCCTGTGGATCCTCAAAGGAAAAGCAGAAGAGCTTGCACACATGACTCCAGCAAGCCCAAGGCACTATTGTAAAGGCAGTGTGCCAATTTTCCTATAGATTTTAAATGCTTTTCTGTTTTGAAATATGTAATGTACATTCCAGACATAAAAATAAATGTTGAGATGTATGGTTATATTCTGCTCCATTGCTATGTGTACCTTCATACTCCAAATCACCATTTCTTGCAGCCAACTACCTGGCTACAAGAAAATGAATTGCTACAATATACTTGTTTCCTGAGCATTATTCAAATGTCGCCACCAAAATAAATCTGGTGGCAGTTTCCAGATGGAAACAGGTCAAACTACCACCACTTTCAAAACATGCATCATGTGATAATGTCACTAAAGGTAAACTACTACTCCTTAGTCACCTTTTCAAAAGCAAGAGATTTCAGATTTCTCCGTCTGGCCCTGTTTAGTTCCTGCCTGGGACCAACATCACTGACTGTTCTTCAGAGAAGAATTTAACAGAGACACTGCCGTGTTGGAGAGTTCATAAATCCCACCTCGGTTTTGGACTTAATGAAGTATCAGTGCTAAGAGGAATAGAAGTAAAATTTCAGAAAATAAAAATAAGAAAAAAGACAATGTTATTCAGAAGTGTTCTAGATGACCATTTAATAATCTGCTAAAGCATTTTACAAACATGTCATACTGACATACTTAAACTTTGGTATAATGCCAAAAACGTTCAGGATCAACCTTAATATTTTAATTGTAGTCTGAAGAATTCAGTGGAATAATGCAGAGATTAGCAGCTTTACAGCTTACTCTAAATCAAACATGTCCCCACAGAACACAGTTTATATGTTTGTAATCATAAATCAGCTGTATAATTGCATTATGGGACCATATTTGGTAATTAAATGTCAAGTCAACAGTAGTTTTCTTGTTCAGTACAACAGAGACACTTTAAAGCTGCACTTTTTCTTTCTTTTTTTTTTTTCCCCTTTGGCATCATCAGGATTTCTTTTTTGAATTAACAGCCCTGAGCATTCAGTCTACATCAAGACATACACTGAAGATGACTCCTCTGATTTGACTTACATTGTACATGATCCCTGAAAAATGTACCTGCAGCTGCCTTCAAGTGCTCTGGTGTAACTCCACCAGCTCTGCTAGTGACTCTGTGTTCATAGCACTGGTTTACAAACACGAGAGGTACCTCTGAAAGCTCACAGACGCAGGGCTGGGCATGTATTGGACAATAGTATAGACCTGAAGACGCCTTCTAGCAGAGAGCATAGCTCTGCACTGGGGGAAACGGGACAAATTACTTTTTAAGACAGCTGAACAAGTAGTCGTTGAGGGTCTCCAGAAAGCCCTTCGCTGGGGACCATGGAGCATGGTTCTTTTACAACAGCTGAACAATAGATTAGGACTTTAAAAACACATCTGGCGTTTCAAGGCATTAATGAAGAGCTATGCCATCCTGAACCCAGTCACCAGTGTGGTTCTAATGCCAACAGCCTAGTTACCTTGAGCCCTACCATTCAATTCCATGGGAGACGTATGAGATTCCACTGCAGCGAGTGGCAGCTTTTGTCTTGACTTGGTGCCCTAAGCAACACAGTTGGTTGATGCTTAGACTTGTGTTCCTGGAACAGCTGTCACCCTTACTATAAAGCCCTTTAATAACACTTAAGCCTCAGAGTAGCATCTTTTTGCCCCCGTACTTGTTCCTGTTGGGAAAGGTTTGGTCTGGAGGCTTCACAAGTTTCTGTGCCTTTGAGTTGGTGAAGTCAAGCTAGCAAGGTCCTTAATACCGGGGCACAAAGCCATGACATGGTTCACCTCGCCCTAAGGGAGAAGTATGTGTGTTTGCTTGCTGGGCAGAGGGTGACCTCGCAGCAGGGGTGGGCCAGTACTCACCATAAGAGGCATCGTGGCGAGCGTGGGCTTTCTGGAGGAAGCCCAGCTGGTCCCTGGAGTCTAACAGAAAGGGCTGTGGTGGGGGCGGGCCGGGGAAGCAGCGCTGCTGCTGCTGCTGCTGCGGCTCTCCGTACAAGTGACGCGGGCCAGGGAGAAGAGCTGCAGCCTGCGGCAAAAGGGGGTGCTGCGCCTCCAGGGCCCCTTTGTGCCGACCACCATCAGGGACATAGTGGCTCCTCTGAGCCCTCCCGTGCAGGCCACAACACTCCTGAGGCCAACTGTGCACTGGGCGCACCCCGCCCCACGCAGGTGGGAGCACTCTTTGCTGGAAAGGGCATCCTGGTAAGCAGGTGTGGTCCAAGCTGTGGGGGTGACGAAGCGAATATGGGTTGAGCTTGAGGTCACCACAGTGATGAGGGCTGTCTGTCAACTCTCTGTCATGAGAGGTATCTGTGGACCAGTTGTAGCTGTAGGTGCCATCACTGATGGATAGCACTGACATCTTCTCCAAGAGAGGCTGGTCAGGCAGCGGCTCTGGCCATAGCAACTGCTGGTTCAGCCCCGGGTCAGAACCGGGGCTGCTGGCCCAGGCAGGGGGCAGGTGCTCAGGACAGGTCCCCTGGGGCCACCGTGGGTAGCAGGAAGCCCCCGCACAGCCGCCGGCTTCTCGTAGCATTTCTGAGCAGGTGTCACGGGGCGCAGGCTCCCCTCTGGTCCTGTACAGCAAGTGGTTACACTTCTCTTTCCTCAGGCTTAACGGCACCTTGATTTTGGCCCTGAGCTCATCAGCAACTGAGACCTGAGCTTGAAGTGGTCTCTCTGGATGGTAAAATTTACATTTATTGCCATAGGTGCATTTTTTACCTGAAAGAATGAAAAAAAAAAAGAAATCAAACAGGAGGTTGTCACTAACAAAGCCCCACACTGATTAATGCACGCATCACTTCTCCCCAGTGCTGTGCATTTGCAGGGGCATGGGGAGACAAACAGCAAAGAGGGGAAGTGCTGTTTTCCAGTCCACTACTTTTGACCCCAGATTTAGATACTGCTGACCTAATATTGCAGGGTGAAGCAGCAATGAAAGCAAGCTTCTGCTATTTTGGACGTGTCTGGAATTAATGTATGCTCCAGTTGCTGCACTGAGTGGGCTGGAAGACCAGCTGCTACACAAGGTTGCTGTAAAATATGGTATAGGGCTTTACCTCTGAGAAACCTGCACAGTGCTGGAAGGCTGTTGGGAGGGGAGAGAGGGTAGAGTTTGGGTGGCCTTTCCCAAGTGCTGCCGTGCAAGTCCATGCTGCAAAGTGAAATATGTGTGCAGGCTGTGGGCAGGGGATCAACATGGCCGGAGTGCCTGGTATGGGTGCTGTGTGCAGGAAAGGATGGAGGAGCCAGAAGCAGCTGCTGCCTTTGCTGAGGCCAAAGCCACTTAAGCAGAAGAGGAAAAAAGTATCATACATTTAAGCAGCCCTGACCCAAGTCCCTGCCACACAAAGCAGGACAGCACATGGCAATGGCACTTGCCCTCTGCCAGAGGAAAGCGCCGCTGCGAAGCAAGGGGCAGGAGGAAGAGGGGTGGCTTCATGGCATGGGGAGAAACCCACCATAGGGGCAAGACTGCCATTTTGGTTCAGGAAGCACTGGCTTTTTGCTGAGGAAGTTATTAAGAGTGGGTCCATGCCGGCCTAACGGATCATCAGGAGGCATAAACCTGAAAAAGGAAAAAGCCACAGGGATAATAAAAATATCTTAAGCTTTTGGAGCTAAAGTGACATCACAGTTTGTGGCACAAGCTTCAGGCAGAAAATCCTTGTGCTGTCTTTGTGGCCTGGCCTTCAGAAGTCAGGCTGTGTGACTAGACACCATGCCCTCTTGTCTGCCAAGGCAACAACGCTTCAGCTTCATGTAACTGTTTTTTCCTAATAACACAAAACAACTGGAAAGGCACAGTGCCTTGGCACAGCTCTGGCCGGCCAGCAGCCCCAGCTGTGGCATCATCACTTGCTTTGTCTCTGGCACAGCCACAAACTCTCTGTGGTGCCAGCACTGCGATTCTCACCCTCAGCTCCCTTCCACAGCAAACTCACTTTTCTCTTACCAAATACTTTTAGGAGAATGAGGATTAAAATGCCAGCAGTCAATTCAGAGCTACAGCTACTGATGGATGTGGTGTGGTAAACAAGCCCAGACTTGGTCAAGGCTTCACTGAAGGCTTCCTGCTACAGGGCCTGCAAAATGCTCAGGCAAAATTGTTTATTCTTCTATGCCAGTACCTGAATGTCATGCTTCAGGAAGAAAATTAATTAGCAGCTCTGGATTTGCTTGCAAATGAATCTGCACTGTACCCATCCATGGAAAAACTCTCTGTCAGGTGAATGGAGTCATGGGCAGAAGGGGAATGGAATTTGGTTATCCATATAATGGGACTGAAACCTCCAACTTCAGACTGTTATTTTAGAGAGTTTAAAGCTGTGCAAGAGGGTCCTGCTGGAAGTATTCACCCAGGCTTCACGGTAACAGCTAGACCTTCTGAGAGAAAGGTTCTGGAAAGGTCTGGCAATCCCTATGTGAAATAGGAAGGAAAATATCAAATAAATATTTGTAACCCAGTAGTAGCTCTAGGGAAGAAGCTTGGTGGTAGATGGAGATAATGTATTGGGACTTCAAGAATTAGAGTGTGCTGATGTGCAGCAACTGCATTTCTGTGAACAACATTATGGGGAAACTGAAACCCAGTGCCAAGGAAAATGAAACCCAGTGCCACCCAAGTTTTTTAGTGGGAGAGCCAAGTCTCCATCCTGACCCATGGAGAATGATGCTGTGTGAAGCGACTTCTCTGCTCACACTCATCCATGCACACTGGGTGTCTCTGAGTGCTTTTCTCCAGCCAAACTGGTGGATAACAAACAGTTCTGCTACTAAGAAACTCAGGCAAGGTTAGGATGTACAGACTGAGAATCACACAGCTCAGCCTGCTGGGCACAGTGCAAGTGTGCTAATGAAAACCTTCCTCAGTGGGGATGGTTAAGGGCCAGAGACACCAGCTTCTCATCTCTCTTCTTCTAGAAAGTTATGTTTACAAAAGCATAGGAAAAAGTGTTGTCCTGCCTTGTAGGGGAATTAAAAATACTGCCAATTAAAAGTAGCCTGCCTCCTCTTACAGATTTAATTCTGTTTCTTATAGGAAATAGAAACTGAAAGATGCCAGGCCTCGGTACCTTTAGATTGGAAAGAAGCCAATCTGGTTGCTAATGCTGCTATTCAAACAGAGAAGTTCATTAAGAGTGACATGGGGAGTTTAAGACCAAAGCCGAGGAAGCAGGAACTAAAGAAACAAGATAAGAAAAGTTGTGGTAAATTCCTTTCAAAAAAAGGCTTGTGTACTCTGCTGCTGGTGAGAGGTGCTTTGATGTTGGAGCTGACTTTGCCCGTAATGTTTAAATTCACGACTGTTCAACAACAACTGTCTTACCTGTTACTGACAAAAGAGTACATGAGTAGTCGCTGCTCAATAAACCATTTCCACTCAGGGTTTTCGTTCTGGAGATCCCGGTAATGGTCATTGGAAACAATGACTCCATCTCTCTCATAAGCAACTTTCACTATATAGCGATCATCGTAGCAAACTACCCTCTTGCCTTTCACCTTCCGGGACGGGGTGTACACAAGGATCGATTGCTTTTCAAGTTCTTCAAGAATGTGCTGATCTGGTGGCAGAAATAAAAGAGGGGAAAAAAATATTTAAGAAAGAGGAATTGATTAACTGATGATGACCAGGTATCAATCATGTACTAGAAAAATACAGGAATCTAAAGATGGTTCAGCACTTTAGGCAACTTAGAGTGGTGGCATTTTCAGATGCACCAATATTTGGTGGTTATTTGGCAATTTGAAAATTACATCATTTACAAAAGCTTGTGAAATTTGAGACACCTTTTGATGTTGAAGTCTTAACTGTAAGCATATCGTTTCAATTCTACACCAGAGGCATACTGAAGTGGCTGTAGTGCCCTTTTTTACCCTGCTAGATGCTAGAAAGCTCATAACCAGCCCCACAGGAGTTTTACTTGGAGATTAAATGTATCTGATAAAATAAATTTGCAAACCCACTTCTTTTGCTGCTACTGAGGACGCTCTGACTTCTTGTCATTCCTGAATCCTCAGCCACCTCATCTGCAGACACCAAGGTACGGGTACAAATCTGGCAGATCTATTTCCAAGCAAACTGAATCTTGCCACCCTCTACAAATTTCAGCTGGTGCAATTCCTTGTCCTGGAGGAGGAACCCACGTAGCTCCTGTATCAGGACAATAGGCTAACACATAACAGTCATGCAAGTAGTGAATGTTTCAGATACTTCTGCTTCTGGAGAATGTGTGCAACAATGTCGTTGTCTCATGGCTGGCCTTAAAAGCTCTGCAGACTGATTGCAAACTGGCAAACTCTTTCTTTAACTCAGCTGGCAGCAATTTGTGCTTGTAAAGCAGAAGGCTCAAAGCAGTGTGACAAAGCCTGGTAGGCAGTTTTAGCTGCTAGGCAGGAGTGTGCCACAAAAAATTAATAGCTGATTTAAGTGATGGAAACCTGATATACAACTTGCACTGTGCTTGTCTCTGCAGGGCAAAACTCTACTGGACTCTCCACACCCCTTATCTCCAAACTGCACCTAATGGTTGCCAAATTATGCCCAGGATGCTGACCTACCTGCAATGGGACTGTCTTGTCGAGGTGGCTCCTTTCTCCAGAGTGGCACAAAAACCTTGATGTACGTGTGTCCCCTCTCTCGAAACCAATCCACTGCCAGCTGGATGCCCCAGCAGGAGAACACTTCTTTGTTTCCATGACTATAAAAAAAAAAAAAAGGAGGAAGATGAAGCAAAGCTTTCAAGAAGTATAGAGTTCTCTTTAACTGAGCCAGGAATGAAAAGGCCAACTAAACAGCTTATGTCTAATTTGCCAGTTTCCAAGAAAGCAACCTGGCAGAGTGTCCTGGCTGGACAGATCCAAACACCTCCTCTGGCAGAACCAAAAACTTATCTGATGCAGTTTGGATACTTAAAAACAGAGGTATCCTATCCCCTATTTCTATGTCCTGTCTGCAACCCAAATCTGTTGCTTCCATCTGTGTCAAAAGCACCAGCAAGACCTTAGGCTGTTTCAGACCCTTCTCATGCCTTGTCTGATAATGGTTTGAGGAGTGAGGTTTTCTTCCAGCACAAGCAAAAACCTAGGAGGTTCTCCTATGAGAAAAAGAATATGGGAATTTTCTTCTGTGGTAACAATGATATTAGTTATTTTAATGTCTGAAGTGGCTGCAAGTATGTTCACAGGTCATTCAGCTGCTGACCTCTTTTGGAAACAGGAGTCAAACTATGGGGTGAAGTACCCCTGTAAGAGTCAGGATGGGAAATACAGAGAACCTAACTCAAGACACCAAAAACAAGGACAAGACCTCAGTGGAGACTGTCACAGGCACCTCAGGCCCATCTTTATCTTGCCCTAGTTGGTGGATTTTGTCTTCATTGCACAGAGAGGTAGGAAAGCCCTAAGACAGGTGCTGTAGAGGAGTGTAGGCAAGGCAGGTTCTGAAGAATTATCAATATTCAGATCAAGACATGGAAAACAATCTCAAGAAAAACAATTAGAAGTGATATCCTTGCTGAGTTTCTCTCCCCCATTGACATGTTTTACTGCTTGTAAATAAATTATTTAAAATCTCTTATCTAACTTTATCTCATTTATCTAAAATCTCACTACAGTGCAGCATATGTGTAAAGGAAGGTAATTTGTTAACTACCTCTACACAAGGAAATAAAAATAGACTCCAAACAAAGTCCTAAAATGGATAAATGCCCTCATAGTATCCACAGAAACTTTGCCTTTGTGTTTTGAGCTTTCTGGGTAATATCATCACAGCACCACTCAGGCTTTCACCTCTGCAAAAGGTATTTGCAGTTACTATACCTACCTGCTGTGATCAGTTGAGAATGAAGCTGCAGTCTTCTTAAATGCTTCTCACCTCATCATCCCCCAGGGATTCATCTGCCTACACCAGCCTCATAACCCATAGCCCATGGACCATACCTCATCTGTCATAACTTAGTCCCATCTCTCTCCCTCCTGCCAGCTACAGGCTACATTGCACTTGGGACACAGATCAGCAGGGCCCACCTTTCAGAAACTGAAGCCACAGTTTGCCCTTGCTGTGTTTCCAGCAATTAATCCATAATTAGCATGCAGTGATTCCTTTTTAAATTGTGCAATTCCAAGGCATTTGAGAAGAAGATTAGTCAAAACAGGTGCTTTTAAAATGGCCCCATATCAACCTGGTCATTATACAGCATCAGCCACATCTTTGGCCAAAGATGGAGCGCCTAACACGGGACTCTGCTGGCCTAGGGAAAGGCCCCTGTACCTGTCACAGCTTAAAAACCAGGTGTAAGTGCAGGGACTAGACTAGATAGGCCCCTCAGGGTGCCATGAAGAGGGCTGTGACAACTCCCTTCTCCTATTAACACAACTCCATTATATTTTCCATGAGCCTTGGTAAACTACCCTGCCTGGTTCCCATGGGTTGTCTGGCAGATGGCTTTTTCTGATTGATTACATCTGATGGAAATGCAGAGTGTACTGAGCTGCTTGACTAGTACGACTGGCTGAAGGCTAGGTTATTCTCCATTTAGTTTCTATGGATAGGCTGATTGATGACTGGAGACTATCAGCTTGCTTGCATTATTACCCTGGGGCACATACATCCTTTTCAAAACCTTGCACACCCCTGCAATGGGCCCTCAGTGCCAACTCTGAATGCCCCAGAAACACCTATCCTAAGACAAAGATATAAATGTGTGAGATATTTTTCTCCACACAGGCAACTGCCTCTCCAAGCTTCAACTTTTCAACAACTTCATCCCTAAACTGCTGCTTCTCCTGCACTTCTGTGGTTGTTGGTGTTGACGATGAAGTTTTTCCCAGCAAGGAAACCTAACATCCTTTTCCACTGACTTGTGCAAACAACCCTTCTCTGTATGACAGCAGCAAACCAGAAAAATTTAAACAAGGCTACCGAAAACACTCACCAAGCCTGTCCCATTAGCCAAAGTAAATGCAATTCAGCACCACTTTGAAAGGCAGCCAGGGGAGGAAAGCAGCTCCTTACAGGCTGCATTGGTTCAGTATGAACAGAACTGACAAGTTCAGTAGTCTTCTCCATCATCTAAGTTGTCTTTAGCTTTATCAAGACAGAGGCTGGGGATGTCTGAGAAGAGCTGTAAAACCTTTGGCTTTCTAAAACTTAAAAGTACTTTACACTCCCCTAATTCCTTTTAGGATGAGGAATGCACAGCAGAACACTAGCCTTCAATAGTCTAGCAGGCAAACATCTCTCAGACTCAGAATCTGGAAATTATTCCTCAAAAGGATGTAAATTGTACATGCCAGAAGCACCTGTGGCTTCTTGAAAACCCATTTATGTGGGCATGTGGTTTAGGAAAGCAATATGACTTGCTTGCTCAAGTCATCTGCAGCACATACCTGTAATGATGTTTGTTTTAAGTAATCTCTAGCTAGCAAGCTCCCATGCATGGGCTGGTGCAGCAGGATGATCTTGGAGCTTTCCCAGAGTATTCCAAGCTCAAAACATGCACTATCTCATTAGCCACCAACCCACTGTGGGCCTCCTGCTCAGTGGGAAAGGTGCATCTTCTACCATCTTGGAAGCAATGCTGGTCTCTGCCTTGTCCACCTCTGCCTGCTCTAAAACAACCCTGGCAAACTGATGAGGACAAGGTTGTGCCAGGAGACTGGAGCACATAACCAGCCAGAGGTAGTATTGTCCTAACATGACGAAAGGGCAGGTGCTCATCTCAGCCACTCTGCCTGAATGGGTGCTCCTTTCTATTGCAGAGTGGCAAGAACGACACTCTAAGAAGAGTCTAGGGTGAAAATACAAATGGGAGCAGAAGATCCTAATACCTGGCTACCAAGCTCATGGCCCAGCCAAGGCTTAGTGATTTTGCTTTGTTGTGTCTTTCTCACTCCTCCTGAGCTGCTCTGAGAAACCCATTTTCAGATGGGATTTCTCCTTTCACCCAGGAGATGGCATAATTTGCTTAGTCTTCAGTTGCTCTGGATGTGCTTGCCCTCTCAGCCCTCTAACCAGAGATGTGTGTTCTCATTTCACCTCACACCAAAGCTAATCCAAGGGGGAAGCCCTCCTCCTCTGTCCTGTCCTAACCTGCAGGGATGGGCTTGGACCTGCTGAGTGGACATGGAAGTTAACGGGGGAAAATGGTGGATAGCCAGCATGTCCTGGATCTCGCCTGCCGGGACCTCTGGCTGTTTGTATTGTTTGGGTAAACAGAGGTCATCCCACTGCTGTCTTTGGACTTTCCAATGACATGAACATGCCAGGCCCCCTGTCAGCCAGAGTGCTCTCACAGCATCAGACACTGCTTAGGAAAGGTAATGGGCCAGGATGGGTTCACACACACAACGATGGGACCTCCAGAGATCATGAAGTCCAACTCCCCTGCCAGAGCAGGACCATCTAGTCTGGGGCAGGTCACACAGGAACGCATCCAGACAGGTTCTTAAAAGTCTCCAAGGAAGGAGACTCCACAACCTCCCTGGGGAGCCTGTTCCAGTGCTCTGTGACCCTGACAGTAAAGAAGATCTTCCTCATGTTGAGGTAGAACCTCCTGTGCTCCAGCTTGTGACCATTGCCCCTTGTCCTATCACAGGGTACAAATGAAAATAGGTTGCCCCTTTCTTCTTGACACCCAGCCCTCATATATTTGCTGTGACATTTCCCAGAAACAGAATTCATTAAGGAGGAAATGAGACTATTCAATACAAGTCAATTATCAATTTCCTGATCTTTCCATAAAAATGAAGCCAAACCAAAAACCAACACAAATATACAAGTTTGGAACATTGTTGGAATTTACTTGCAAGTCAAAACAGTGCAACTGTAATTATGTAAAGAACCACAGTCACCTATCTCTATCTGTTCATCAGTTTTTCCTGGAAACAGCTCTGCATATACATTTAGAAATCCTTGGTACCCATTTGAAAAGGCAGGGAAACATCAAAGGTGAAGTAAAAGCTGCTGAATCATATGGCCATAAACGTTAGTGGTTAGCTAGCTGTTGGCTTACAAAAGGTCAAAAGGCAGAGCGAGCCAGTGATTGGATTTGGCGTGCATATCTACAGCCACAGAGAGAGCAGGTCCCTAGGAGCTGCCTCAGCCAGAGAACAGGAACACATTGCACATCAGATACACCAACTCACCTCTCACCTGAAGAAAACAAGTACTTCTAGCAATCCACTTTAAAATTCAAAAGCTTCAGAGGGACAGAGATCCCTTTTAGGAAACAGAACTTACCTCATTGCAACGTTGCTGCCATCGATCACGATGGGTCTCAAGTAATCGGAAGAATCCCCTCCATCCTCTCCAAGCCACTTCGACCCTGATGTGGTGCTACACGATCCACGGGCAACAAGTTCTAGGGGGAAAGGCTGAGCTTGGCTCTCCAGAGCTTGAGGTTTGCTCCCCATCCGAATCAGCTCTTTCAGCACATCATCCTCCAGGGCCTCTTGACCCAGGTTCTCCAGCACTTTGCAGATGTCCTGCTTACCGTAGCCCAGCTTGCAGAAGAAATCTAGCTTGCTCTGGTGCTCTTCCACCCCAGCCACAGAAACGTTTCCAGAGCGTGGTGGTACTGGTTGGCTAGCAACCGAACTGGCCAGGGCCATCTTAGCAGGCATTTATGTGCCTTTAAACCCAGCGCTCCAGTCTTCCCAGCCTTGTCCAACAGGCATCAGCTTTAGGGAGGGAAAGATTAGGAACAACAGAACACAAACATTAAGGTAGAACGTGCAATCTCGGTTATTTGCCTCTTGCACAGCAAAGGGACTCTCTGATCAGCTGCCTTCTTGCTGCAGAGACTGTCCAGTCTTCTCTCAGCATTGAGGAATTTCTCTGGTCCGCTCTTACTTATAAAGGCGCTCGCCTGTCCCATGCAGTGTCCCCCTCCGGGCGTGGTTATGTCAGACAGGTGTCATCCTGCTTCACGATCTATGCAAGCCCGTCTGCACACACACAGGCTGCATGCGCAAATTCGTCCCTCGGCCTTATCTCACAGGAAATGATACAAGGGACGCTGTAACCGGGGATTTTCAATTTGCTCAGTGTGGTTTGTGAGCCACAGATAAAAATCTGTCGAATGTTGTTGGATGAGCTCAGATGCCTTAGCAACAGTATGGCAAATTTCAACGAGTAATTTGAGGAAATGTTTGCAAAGTAGCTGAGAACTCTGAACTTTTTCTTTTTTTTTTAATAGTTTTTCCCAGTATGTGCTTGTCTTTGTAGACACAGACATACATTATGAAATTCTGTCAGTCATCTGTTCCAATGATGCCTGACTTACTCCTTTCGTGTTATTTGCTGTTTCATTGAGTACTTTTCTATTCAGTAGAAGCAGCTTGATTTTTGAAAGCTGTCAGGGCAGTTGTGGGAAGCAGGCAATCTGAAAAGCGGTTTCAATTTCACTTGTAGTTATTGCCAAGAGAAACTGGTAATTCAGAAATGAGTGTGCAGAGGTAGCAGAAAGCTACTTCAAGCTTCTCCAGAACTGTACTGTTTACATTTCTGGTCTAGCCAGTAAATGGAAGTGATGGGCAGAGTACCCAGGCATACTCAGAGCTGCTTCAGCCCAACGAGCATGATGACAGAAGGGCATACACAGTGACCACTCGTCGTCCACCAAGCCAAATATTGTTGGTCCCTGTTGCACCGAAGCTTCTCGTGCCACATCTCTGCGATTATTGGTGCTACCTGGATAAAAGCTGTGCCTGGTTCATCTACCCATGTGTAGGATGTAAGGGAGGCCCTCTTCCCTCCACCCGTTTGGGCCAGAAAATGATGCAGAATTGACTGACCAACTACCATGACAAGCCCAGAGCATAATCACATTGCACCCACCAGCTCCCTTTCCCAGCCTGCCCTGCATGCCACCAGCCTGCTGGCCACTCCCTGCCCAGCATTGGGCCTCTCCACCAGCTCAGAAGCCAAAACCACTGGAGGAAGGCATGGAGGTACTGGAGAGAGGGAGATGGGAGATGAGTCTGAGTGCAGCTCCTCCCTCAGGCATTAAGAGGCCCCCAGGGCTGTGGGGAAGAAATCCACATTAGGTTCAGTTAATATAAAAGCGATTAGTTCAGGAGGAAAACCTGATAATTAGTTATAACCCCACTTAATATAAATTTGATCTTTACTTTTCTACATAGCCTTATAACTTTCAGGTATTCTTCTATGGAAGAAATCTAGCACTCTGTTAACAGTGACAGATTGTGTCAGTAGAATAAAAAATGTCTGGAGTATGACATATACATAATGGAAAAGGAGTTGCCATGTGTATTTTTCCATCTAAACCAAAATATTTCTTGTTTTAGCCAGTGAGCTTGACTGGTTTTCCTCACAGTGCAATCCACAAGTGTACCAGTTTTTACATCTGGTCCTGGTTTTGAATCCATGGGCTGAAGATTAAAAGGTATTTGCCTATTTTTTCATCACTGAAATGGTTTCTCAGCTTTGAAATCCCTCGTCTCTGAACGGAAATCCATTAATGAATGTTTGTACCTGAATACAGCTGTAGCTGGCACAGTTGGGATAGTGATGTAGCAAACCCCACTTCCAGGTGTGCTGTCAGTGGCTCCAAACACTTAACATGTAATACTTCATTTCGTTTTATGTCTAGATTATTTTAATAAGTCATTATAATTGAAAAATTTTAGTTGCTATCTCTCCTCATGTTGAAAAGAAAATATTTCATACCCATTACTATTATTTTTTAAACCTGTACTTCTATCTATTCTGATGCTTTTTTTAAATATCAGAGCAATTTCCAACATCATGTTGTGCTGTGTATGTTTGTCCTGGGTTTCACTGAAAAGTGAGTTCAGTCCAGAATTTTACCAGAGAGCTTTCCAGCCTCAGAGGATGCAGAGGCCAGGCCAGTCTTGCAGTGTGCACCTTGCAGCCCCAGCAGCAGCAGCAGATGCAAGCAGGTGCTGGTTGAAGGCTGCTCACCACATCACTTCCCATCCCCACCCCAGGGAGCCCCAAGCCTGTGGTCCACATCTGCCTAGTTTGCACGCTGGCAGGCAGAGGCAGCACTGGCAATGCTTGGCCCTTCTGTGCAGCTTTGTGGGGAGCACTGAGCTCTGTGCTGCTGCCCGGGGCTGGTGCCTTGCAGTATCAGCCATCAGCAGCAACATGCTACTTCTGCAAAGTTCACCATGGGATTTCTGCTGGGCCACAGCCAACACTGAGGTCACCCTTCTAAACAGAGAATTAAAGGATAATAAAATCACTAGCTTACGCATTAGTAAGCAGTTAGTAGCATGCCCAAATCCAACAGGTCAGTCAGTTGCTTATAACCAGCACGAAAGTGTACAACAAGAAGAGAAATCGTGCATCACAGAGTCCAGCTTTTGCTATCGCAGACAAACAGGTTGTGAAATCCTATTTAGAAACTTTACAACCTCCATTTTCAAACTACTTAGATTTCCTCCTGTCACTTTCCCCTCCCCACCTCAGCAGACCCTGTTGGGAGACTGCCCTTGTTCTCCCTCCAATGAGACCCAAAGTCTTACTTTTGGCCAAAAATTGAGACAGCTGCCAAGGCCTTCTGTCTTTTTAATTTTTTGACAGATGCATGCCGAGTAACAGCAGGAGTGCAGCAACAGCTCCCTGCCACAGTCGTGTTCCCCTCACACCCTAGGTCTGGGCCACCTCTCCTCTGTGCCTGAGAATCACGCTGCAAAGCACCTGAGCCTGCCAGCCCATTCAAGCCCTGCCAGGAGCTGTTCCTCTGAAAGAAAACAGGCTGCTCAGCTTTCAGAAAAACAAGATTTTTTACTTTCAGAAATTAAAGGTTAACTTTTAATGGCGAGACCAGTCATTTCTTGCCTTGATGACGAAGAAACGATTCACCTTTTTCTTCCCCACATTCCCTGCTGCATTTGCCAAAAATAATAAAAACAAACTCCCCAAGGAGCAAGCTGTCACAGGTAGACCCCCTTGCTCTGCACCTTACCTGACAGCTGCTCTTTCTGCGTCCCAGGAATATTGTCCCACCATTTGTGAGCCAGAAGCTGGATTCAGAGCAGTACTGGGCTCACAAGGAAGTCATCAGCCTGTATTTAGAGGCTTTATGGCAAGGCTGATGTCAACTGAGAGTAAATAAGTGCAGTGAGCAGGTTAGGGCTCATTCTATAGGAAGGTTTTACTTCCTCATACGACTGGCTGAGCTCTCATTTAAATGTACAGGTTGATAAACTTTCACTTCATTTTTCAAAAGAAAAAAAAACATCACCAAACCAAAAACCATTCCAAACAGATCTCAGTTCTGAGTCACAGGCAGTGATGAGCCAAACCCGCTCTGGCAGAGATCCACAGCACTGGGCGGTAAGAAAATGGCATATCAATTCTGGGGCAAGTCAAAACTTTTCCACTGGGGATGCTTTACCAAGTTACTTCGGCCTCATTCCCCCTGCATCTGGCAGTCCCATCTTCTCATAGGACTCACGGAGGGGGAAAGAAAAAAAAAAATTTAAAAAATCACCTTTTTTGCTTAGTAGCTGATATTGCAAAGACTCATTCAAACACCTCTGCATGTGAGGGAATCTCCTCTGGGACAGAGACCACAGGAAAATATTGAAAACCAAGCCCCTAACCTACTGGTGCCTCAATCGAAAGTCTGCTTCAGAGACATGCAGCCTGTCCACAGCAAAGGCCAACAGGCACTTTCCAATAGAAACCTGAGGCTTTGCTCTGCTTGTTCCTCACCCACCTGCAAAAAAACATGGCCAAAATCTACTTTTAGACAGCAAGCAGTGTTGGAGACTTAACATCTGGGACCCTTTGGATTTTGCAGACAGTTCTACAGGCACAGTGCCCTCTGCCCACAGGGCCAGGGAGGGTGGGAGTACTCTGTAGTGGAAGGAGAGCACCTCTGTCACTGTCACAAGCTGGCACACCAGAGTGGGGCAGCCCCTTCCCAACCAGAAATTCCCACCCTACTTGCATACTTTGTGGGAGAAAGCAGGGTGGCCCAACCCATTGTAGTGGCATCCTATTTGATCCAAAGACTCCTTGATGCAAGGAGCAAGCCTCATGCTCCTTCCAGCTGGTTCCAGTTGATGGTTATGCCTTTGCATGGCACCCAGGCTCCTGGGAGGTCTTTGGGGCCCAGGCTGCCCTGCTGCTGTGCAAAGCAGTGCCCAGGCAGGACCGGATGAAAGGGCAGCACACTGCCTCATCTACCCTGCCTCTGGCACAAAACCTCCTCTGATCCACAAAGGTCTGGCCGGGCAGGTTAGTGGCTACAGAAACAGGAAAGTGTTCCTAAGGTCACAGCTAAACAAACATGTTACTTTTCTGCTGCCTGGAACAGCTATAAGAGCGGAACACCCAGAGCCTTTGACTCCCCATCCCTGGAGAAGAAAGATCTTCTTTGCACCATTTAAACTTGCAGAATACCACATACCTCGTCACTGCAGAGAGGTATTTATGATACAGGAAGGCAGCAGAGCAAAGCATTCAGCATTGCACGGCACCATTTTAACTCCTTCTGCTCAGAAAAACTTCTTTCTTTTTTACTACATAAATAAGAACAAACCAGAGCTTAAAAAAAGAAATAAGAAGAAAATCAGATAGGAGAATTTTGCACTCATCTTTCATTTGTAATGAAATTACTAAACCC